GATATTAGAAGGGTGTTTTTCTAACTCCAGTTCTTGCAAATGCTGTAGAAAAAGAGATTTGTCAAGTGGTCTTCAGAGCCAGTGTCCTGAGTAGTCAAATTTGTTAATGTCATATCAGTAAGAAAGCTAGCTGAATCTGAAATGATTACCCTTGTTTTTCATTTAACACTTTTTTAAATAAATCATAATTTAGATACAATTCTTTATTGCTTTCTCATATAATGTTAAAGTAATATATTTCATCATATTTAAAATTTAAAGTATTTGTTTAGGGAAGTACATGGGTGATATAGGCGTGTTCAATATACGGCCCGCAGACCAATTCCGGCCTGTTTTCAAATTTCCACCGGCCCCTAGCCTCTGTCATAAAATCACATATATGTGGCCCACCAGCACAGGATAAAATATGCATACAAAAAAAGCAATTATACATTTTTACCACTGTCACCTTGTGACACACCTTGTGTGACCCCTGAATTTTAACAAGAACTACGTGATGGGTCAAGAAGGACAAGACTAGGGGGCCAAACATACGTCCCGTGGGCCAAAACCTGCCCGCCTCTGGGCTTTCAATCCGGCCCACTTGAAGAATTTTAAAAAAAAAGCCAGACCTGGCCTATTCACTGCAGTTGAGCTCCTAGTTTCAGCCTTCACATCAGAGCAGGGAGTTATTTGTTTAGTCATCTGAGGTGAATAAATTGTAGTGAATTGAATTTGAAACTTTTTCTAGACAGACTTTTTCAAGCGTTCATTCAAGGCAGAGTGATTTGGGTTCAAACTGGTTTATATTAATTTGTGTTCTACGTGAAGAAATGAAAGGCAGACCCTCCGCAATAAATCTGGCTAAATAAAAGTGTGTATGACTTAGTACTTGTGTTAGATTAAAACCTGTTGTATGGGCCCGAGATAAAAGACACTGTACTTTCTCCTCTTTATTTTGGGGTTTATCTTCAGAACGTCTATCTCTGATTGAAAATCGGATTTTTGGAGGTTTTGTTGATTAAAAAGAAGCTGCAATTATTTTCAAACAGTAATCTCTCTGACTTCACGCTGCCTCCACTTTCCGTCGCTGAGCTACTGATGTGGTAACCATGGAGACAGTCAAGAGAACATGTTGGGGAGTGATAATGGCGGAGGAAGGTGGGAGGGTGTTTGATGACACGAAGTCGAACTTGGTCATTGGCCGAGGTTACTGTTGCCTTGAGGTTCGCAGAATCAGAAATTTCCCAGACACTGTCTGCGTTGCAACAAGAACAAGAATGCATACAACTAAAAAAAAAACACACATTAAATACAGTGAACTAAAAATTACTAGTCATTTGCTGCTTGTCCAGTCCCCTGTAACAGCTTAACTGCCGGGTAGTTGCAGATTGCTCGGGGGACGAGTTCTGACAGCCGGCAGGGACAGTGACACTATGAGGAAGGAACACTCGGGAAGCTCCGCTCTGACAGATTGAGGAGGCAGGATTGCTTTCCAAAGCTTCTCACGCAGAGAGGATGAGTGTCACTGTACACCAGAGATAAATATATGAATGTCTATCTGCTGCTGTTTTCCTCCGCAACTTGTTTTCTGTTACTCAGCCAACATTTCAAATGTAAAAGTTTACCAGAACACTAGAACTCTTTTTCTATAATTTTTCTTATTTATTCTGTGTATAAATTGCCTGTAATTGGATTGTTAGCCTGAAAAAGTGGCACTGTTGCAGTCATCATTCTTGTTGCATCATTCTTCGTAATAGTGATGAGTCCTAAAAAAGTGAAGGGTAAGGATGGTAAAGAGAAGAAGAAACACATGATGACCATGGAAATAAAGCATGAAATTGTTGATAAATATGAGCATGGTGCCCGCTAAAGAAAGAATACAAATCGGAAAAAGTAAAAATAAATAAATAATAAAATAGAAAAGTAAAAAAAAAGTTAAAGTAAGTCTAAGTTTATGTAAGTTACGTAGTCTACCTGCAAGGTACGGTACGGATTCAAGTGTCTACGTACTGGCCAACTCTCTTCCGTCCCTCCCTTTCTCCCTACCTCCCTCATCCTCCTCCTCCGCACATTCTGCCAAAAACCACATTTTATTTTATATCACAGGAATCCTTATATACTATAATTTTGTGTGTGTGTGTCTATAGCAATTAAAAACATGTTTTTTCCATTGTTATAAGCACTAAAAAGGAGGTTTTTTTTAGAGGGCCACAACGGATACATCAGAAAGCATCAATAATAACATAATACAATGATATTATTTAAAAGACTAAATGTATTTTACTCATCAAAACTTTTGATAATTTGAACACGAAAACCATTCTCCTGTCTTTAATAGGAAGCCTTCTAAAAGGCTTTGGTGTGGCCAATTCGGATCTAATTGGTTAAAGAAACATTCTTATTGCCGTTCATTTTAGGCTCCAGCCCCTCGTACTACTGATTCTGAAGGTCTCAGGGCAGATTGCTGATGATGGATACATTATGACTAGATAAAAAAAACTTGCAAATGAAAAAAAAAAAAAGCTGGACACAAAAACAACTTGAATAATGCACATGCAAGTCACTAAATATACAGTAGTTCACCGTTGGGCATTCTTTGACCATCCAATCAAATTGCCAACAAGACTGTCCTTACTGCCATTTCTAAAGATGGTAGTGCAGTGTTTCTATAACAATCTTGGATTTAAACACGAACTGAAGGTTTTAATTTGTAGAACACCATGTTGTTACAGTAAAGGGTAAAATAGATGATTGGACCCTTTTTCCTTTTTGTTGTATGTGACAAAATTACCATATTTATAAGTCACACTTTTTTGTCATCCTTTAGCTGGGTTTGCGACTTATACTCAGGTGCGACTTATATATTAAAATATATAATTTCACGTTTGTTATTTTCACACTGACAGCCGCTAGAGGTCACTCTAGGCTTGTGTACCAGTATCTGCTACTCATGTACCACTGAAAATGTATATGTTTATTATTTTCACGCTGACAACCATTAGACGGCTCTGTAGCTGGCTGGTGCCACATACTCCGGAGTGACTTACATTTTTTTTATCTGTTCCAATGATCTAATAGGTGAGTGACAATGAATGCCTCCACGTTTTACCTTGCTTTGGTTCCAACTCCGTGGAAGAATAGACAGCCTTTGTAGATGTCAGCTGTTAAATGGTTGCCTTCCAGCTTTGGCGTGATTGAGGCAAGCTACTCAGGCTCATAATTTGCCCATGAAAAATTTTAGTGGCAACTGGGGAAGCATGTCGTTAGTCACCCAACAAAAGGAGTTCAACAGGATTGCTGAGAAAAGGCCAGGAACAAGACAGATACTTTTGGATGAGTGGGCAATGAGCTGGTTGACATTGCCAAAGATTACTGTGCTGCACATGTGCTTGGCAATGTGTTCTCACATTACACTACTTAAAACAAAAGACATAAACAGACAGCATTGCTACTGTAGTATCACTATGGTGCCAGTACAAAATACAGGGATAGTCTGCTGCTATTTTAAGGATTATACAGTAACAACCGTAGGTGAATGGTCAGTGATAATATTTTATCTTTAGACTGAGATGGAGAGGGATTTAAACATGAGTGTTCTAATGGCAAAACAATGGGCTGCAAAACACAGGGAGAGTAAAAGAGTAAATGATGAAAGACTACCTATTGCTACTGGTAGAGAGAGACTTCATTGTGAATTCAAAATATTCAGTTCAAAGTACATTTTGACTCAAGTATGTTACCATTGCTTTCAAAAATTAAATGCGAGCTAAACAAAAAAAATCTGCGTTAAATGTGAGAAAATTGTGTGGCCGTGCCTCCACGGATTTCCCTCTATTTTAATGTAGCCAGAGAACGTTGACTAAGAGACAGACTCCAGCCTTTCGTAGGATGATGGCTGGTGCGGAAAACAAGAAATGGAGGTTGAGGATTGCCAAGCAGAGAGCTCATGTGGAGCAGATGTCTCTGTAACTTTTACTCAAAGTAAAATTTAAATCAGAACCTTCAACTTTGAACTAAAACGTGAATTTTGTAAACTGAGATCATAGATCGTCCAACCCGTCTTGAAATGGAAAAAATAATTTATTTTGAAATGTGATCCAATTTTGAAGACATGACTTGCATTCAACACAACCATATCAACAATTTTAACCCTTTGCAGTACAGAGGTATTACATAAAACCGAGATAAAAAAAAAAATAAGGTCGGCTAAACTCAGCCTCCGGTTGGTTTGCATGAAAACCAGCTACTACGGTGATATAGTCTCTGCACGAGTTGACCAGGCTAACAATGGCCAAACTAACAATAATCCTACAGACCCACCTGTATTTCTACCATCAATGCTGTGAGGAATTAATGTGTTTTACATGTCTATGGTCTTTTGAAATATGTTGCATGAGCTTAACTATCCATATATATGCATTAAAAATATTACATATATATATACTAATTTCTTTAAAGTCTGGTGACTATTTGCAATTGCAACAGTGGTTTTTTTTATATTAACTCAAGCCGCATTATAATATACTCGAGTGAGCAATTATATTGCTATGCTAATACAAAAAGAGAAGTGAAGTGAAAGATTAGTTCACAGTGAAAGATTAGTTTGTAGAGTGGCAGCAGTGGCGGCAGTATAATTTAATGTTTAAATGTTTTGAAGGTCTGTCTTTTTTTTACATATATACTGCTTAGCAGAATAGCTTTTTGTGTGAAATACGGTACTCAATATCACTAAACAAATATAGATACAATACTGAACAAAAGGTTTTTCCCCTGTGCCATCCACACTGTTAACGCCCACGGACACAGACAGTCACTCATCCAGCGACAAATAACCCCCACCCCTCCCGGCTCCAACACCTATCACCTATCATCTACACCCCCCCCTCCCCCGGACTGTTAACACCCACGAACACACGGTCTATCCCTACATGTAACCTCAATACTACTTTGTATAGCATTTACTTTGTACACGCAAGTTAGAATGATTTAATAATTAAATTAGAAAACATAAGTGATTGAGTTCATGCTAGTATATGTTGTTAAACAGAACTAAAGACGGAGAACACTCAGAACCAGATCCACTGAATGGCACACCTGCAGATCATTTTGGGGTAGGCGGAGCATCTTCAAACGTGTCCAAGACATTGGAGATAAAGGTTGAGGCACCACATGTGTTCAGGACACCAGAGAAGGTAGGTAGGACACTATTGTTTGCTCAGTGACACGTCCTTAAATTGTGTTTTTCAGTGATTTGGATTGTTTAGTTAAACAGTAAGTGACTGGTTGTTTGCTGCTGCAGATGGAGTTCCTTGTAGCAGCTTTGATCACAGTGTGTGTTCTTGTATCGAGAACCGATGGTGGTGAGACTTCAGCAGGTAGAGTTTTTTTTTTTTTTTTTTTTTTTTTTTTTTTCCACTGTTTAACAGAGATATTTATGTTTTATACCTGAAAAAAAAAAAATATATACACAGTGATACTTCAGAGAAACAGATTTATTTTAGTTCTTTGATTCTGTTTGCGACCCACAAAGTTTGTGAACTGATCGGTTTTTGCCATTGCAATTAATGTAAACCGAATTAATCCATTATTTGGCCTATAAGCCTTTTTATTTTCTTTTAAAAAGGTGTTTTTTGGGAGCCATAATAAGGGATACATTTAATGAAAAATAAAAGTATCAACTATCAACGTCTCATGCAGTGTTTTGTGTGTCGGGTGTAATAGTGGCGTTGAATTTGTTGAGGCATAGTTCGTAGGAAAAAAAAAAAGCTACATTTGTTTGAAAAAGGTGTTCGTAGTCCGATTTGTTTGTGAATAGGGATGTATGTGACCCGAGGTATCACTGTAGTGTGCAAAATGCATTGTAATGAATTAAGTTTCTATTTATGGTATATATTATATCCTGATACTTTTTTTTTTTTTTTTTTAATTTGGATTTTTGTCATCTTGCAGACTGGTGTTATCACCTGCCAAAATGTAGTAAGTAATCTGCTCTTTCCACTTTTTAGCAGCTCTTTGATTGAAACTGATCCCTAAAAGAAGTGTTTGTGATCACAGGTGATGCCACTTGGCCATACACTGCCACTAAATACTGCGCTGGGAAGAGGCAGTCACCTATCAACATTGACAGCTCAGCGGCCGAGGCTGATTGCAGCCTGACTGCCTTTAGTTTTGTTAACTTTGACAACAAATTTTCTTTGAAAAGCATCACAAATACTGGCAGGACAGGTGTGTCTTTGTATAAATAACTCACATTTCATTTAAGGTATTTTCAATGACCCTGATCCCACCCTAACATTTCCTACTCATTTAAATTTGCATGCTTTTGAATCAATTTCAGTGAAGGTTGGCTTTTACCGTGGTGTGAAGATTTCAGGAGGCGGCCTGTCCGAGGAGTACGACAGCCTGCAGTTTCACTTGCACTGGGGAAATGGTTTTGCTGTTCCTGGCTCAGAGCACACAGTGGATAGAAAGCGCTACCCCATGGAACTTTTTTTTTTTTTTTTTTTTCTTTCTTTCTTTCCTTCCCCATTTTCTTTTAAGTTTGAGGACTAAACTTTGGGTTTAATTTGAATTCTCATTTTTCCTCCTTTAACTACAAACCCATCTGCAATATGTCAATGTTGGTTGCATTTGTAACCCAGTGACTGCTGTTTAATGGGGAAAAAGTAATTAAGAGATTATCATAAAATGGTTAAATCTAAGTTCATTGTAAGATTCAAAGTAACTATGATCTCTCTCTATATCTATCTCTATATGTATGTGTGTATATATATATATATATGTGACTAGAGTTATAATTCATTGTAAATGCTGGTTTAAAAATAAATGCTGTCTATTGTGCTGATTGATTACTTGCAGTATGTCTTCCGGAACAGAAAAGTAGTGTAATGGAAATAGGGATTCCTTAACTTTTATTTGGAGAAATGTATTTGATAGCTGTCATCAGACACAGTTTACTTTGTTCAAAATATTGATTTATTCCTAGTTTTCTTGGTGCTATTCCATAGAGATGAAGAGTAAATAAAGAGATGCGTATATACCAAAGCTGCTTGTGTCGCATTGCATTGAATGTGAAGTCAGCCTAGTCAGACAAAAGGCAGGGCTTGTCCTTCACTCCATGCTATTGCCTTGCCAATCCTGAATACTGAAATTGAATAAATTCCCCATATTTTTAGTTGCACATTGTCAGCATGAAGTCGTCATACAATGGGAACATATCCCTGGCAGTCGCAGACTCCACAGGTCTGGCTGTTCTTGGGTTCTTCATTGACGTGAGAGCTTCAGGACCTGCTAGTGAACCTGCAAGTTGGACAAAGTTGACTTCGTATCTGTCCAAAATTCCAACTAAAGGTAGGATTGAAGTGCAGATTTTTTTTTTTTGGGGGGGGAGGGGAGGGGGGTGTAAAAAAACTGCATACCATTCAGAGTTTGTCTGTTCTTAGGAGACATGGCTGGGATTGCACCAGGTATTTCATTGGATGAGCTCCTGGAAGGGGTGGATCGCACCAAGTATTATCGGTACCTTGGCTCCCTAACTACCCCCATGTGCAACGAAGCTGTGGTTTGGACCGTGTTCAAGGAGCCTATTCAAATAAGTAGAGAATTGGTAAGTTTTTTTTTATTTTTTTGGGAACTAAACAGTGACCTATGTTGTATTACAAAAAGAGGGACACTACATTAAAAAAAAAAAATTAGTTGCTGTTAAGGATGCCATATATTTGCCTCTGCATTTTAAAATGTCTCTGCAGCTGAGCGCTTAAAATCTCAATGTTCAGATTATGCATTGACTTCAACATGATGTTCATGTAAGTTGATGCCATGGCAACAAACCATCAAATAAAATGTCAATAACAAATTACAAAAAATGTAAGTTAATAATTCTCACAATTAGTAGCTAGTTGCCATTGGGAAAAATTATGCAGTATAATAATGAAATGGACTGACGAATGGTACCTGAGCAAAATTTACAAAGTTTGTTTTAAAGTAGCTTTTTCAAGGCCCATACAGGCCCATGGTACAGCTTTGGATAGTTTATCAATGTGTCTAACTGGTAAAGTTAGAAGTTAAAGTTAAAGTTTGAAGCCCCATGTGACAAACTGTATTTTGTAAATGTGGGCTATATAAATAAAATTTGATTGATTTGATTTGATTGTAATACACTTTAATATTTTTTTTTTTTTTTTTTCTTTAGCTATGGTAAAAACCAACCATTTGTTGATAGAGAGAAAGGGAAAGAATAATGGGTAAAATGACCGAGTGAGAGAGCGCCACAAAATGGAGCTCGGTTGAGCACTGTTAACTAGATGTCCCGGTGTCATGAGCCAAATCTTGCAGTAGTTGCAGACTTGTATTCTGGGAAGCTTGTGTTTGCTGTATATGCATGTGTATGTACTGTATATAGTGATGTGTCGTTCGCGAGTGATTCGTTCAAACTGAACGAATCTTTCATATGACTCGTGACTCCGGAGTCATATTAAATATTTGTTCATATTGAACTCACAAATCACTCACTGTGAACTAATCTTTCATTGCAAACGAATCACTCTCTATGAACTAATCTTTCGCTGTGAACGAATCATTCTCTGTGAACTAATCTTTCGCCGTGAACTAATCTTTCGCTGTGAACTGATCTTTTGTGCCCTCTAGTGGCTGTCAGTGTGAAAATAGAGAACATGTAAATTTTCAGTTGAACAAGAGTAGCAGATACTGGTACACAAGCCTAGGGTGTCCTCTAGTGGCTGTCAGTGTGAAAATAAACATTTTAAAATTATATATGTTGTACCTCAGTGTAAGTCTCAAACCCAGCCAATGGATGAATAAAAGTGTATCCAGGGAATGCACTGCTTGCAGAAGTGTTAAGACTTGAGAATTCTTCGGATATGTGGGAGAAATAGGGTTGTTATTTTTATGAACAGAACTTTTGGACTTCTCCTTGAATTGCTTTAAAGCTTTTACAGGCTTTAAATAACTTTTTTGGTGGGGGAAAAAATAAGGCACAATAATGTCTCGAATGAGGTGGTTGACAAGAATTAGATTGGTAGAGAACATTACAACAGTAAAGTACGGAAACTGCACTGTGGCTGAACCAGAAATCTCTGTACCCAGTTGTAAAAAGCCACTGAATGATCTGTTGGCATGGAGAATTTCCCCAATAAATATACAGCGTACATCCAACTGGCAAGTGCACAAGTCACCCTCAGAATAAACAGTTTGATCCCTGTCATAGAAGACGCAGTACTTGTATGTCCAGACACGCATCACATTTTTTGGGCGACTAAAATGTATGCACGTTTGTTCTCTGAGGCTTATTTTACCGTGTTTAGAATGTGCACTGACTTTATCAAGTCAGGTCAGAATGTGGTGTGTAAACAATGTGTGATATGAAAACCTACAGTATATATTGAGCAACTTTGATTTAAAAGAATATTCCCCAATGTCCAGAAGAGTTGAAAGCAACACACTCTGCTCGAGGAAAACAAAGGACTGAGCTCATTTTATTTATTTTTTCTACACACTGTTCCTTTACCTTTAAATGGTAATGAGCCCCTGTGTGCTCCGCCCACCTCCTCCTTTATGTCAGGTTTTGGAAACTGACAAACTGAACAAGAAGACGTCCTAGATAACACTTAGGACGTAAGAGGGAACCTGGATGTTTTGCAGTTGCTAATTTGTTACAGTCAGTTGTCAAATTATTTTCTGTCATGCCCCCACCTTGGGGACAACCCACACCCCTGCGAATTGAAATACTATTGAGAACCTGGTAACATGTATATTTTTATCTGTACATACCACTGTATGGGTTGCTGCCACCTAGTGACTGGAGGCTTGTTATAACTCAGGCATTACAGCAGTGGTACACTTATGTCCAGTGTGCCATATTTCATTGGAAGCCCCTCAC